TTGATCTTATTGTATGCTTAGTTGCAGGGGTGAAATAGACCCAATACCGGTTGAAAGATACCAAAGGAGTTGAAATAGACTCAAGGGGCGAAATAGATGCATTACCAGTTGAAAGATATCAAAGGATTTGAAATGGACTCAGGGGGTGAAATAGACCCAGTACCGGTTGAAAGATACCGAAGGAGTTGAAATAGACTCAATGGTGAAATAGACCCAACTTAGTTTCTAGTTGTTATGTACATTTCTGTATGGGGTCTTTTGGGGAAACTCACTAAGCTTTGTGCTTACGATTTATATTTGTGGTTTCAGGTACTTCTGGTTCGAAAGGGAAGGGTTCGTAATAATCGCACCGCATCCACCAGTATTCTGCATTTTATGACATGATTTGTACTCTGATGACTATTTTATGCATTATCACATTTTGATGGATTTTGGAATGAATGAATGGTGGTTTTGATAGTTTTAAAAATAAAATTTTTACATAGTATTTTTAGGATGTTACATTGGTTTATGAACCACTACTCAATTACTCTAAGAATTGACAAATGAATTCACTATTTTGCATCATGATATAGTCTCCAGATGAGACATTTATCATAACTTGATTGGTGATGTAGGCTCCATCAAACAAGAAATGCACAAGTATCCAACAGGAAAACTTATGAAGGGGGCATGAACGTAACAATTCCTTGAAGCGGTCAAATGCATCATGAAATTCCTCATTGGGTTTTTTGTGAAATCATGAATTACCTTTTTTATTATCGTGGTTTTACTGATGGGGTAAAACTCTTGCGAAATTTTGGTTTTCAATTGATCCCAAGCATTGATATTATTGGAAGTAAATGAAGTGAACTGATACTTAGCTTTTTATTTTAATATGAACATAATTAAGTGAAGTCTAGTATCGTGAAATGTTTGTGTTAGAAACTGCAAGAAACTCGTAGAGTTGATTGTATAGGTCATCATATTTATTCTCTCAAATGATCGTTAAGTCATTCATGAGTTGTGGTCTAACTTCCACATGGTTCCCGTTTCCTTTCGGGAAGAGTATAGGTGAAGCATCATCATACTCTCCTGGCTGGTAATGAGAAGCCATGTATTGCCTATTAGGTTGTAGAAAAAAAAAGGTGAGTGAATCAGTTACCTTTTTTGTGATACCCGCCTTGGTAGCCTTGATCATTGACATTGTTGAATCCGTTGTTTGGATTCCTTTAGTACATGTTCCCAAAGCCTTCATTCTCGTAATCGTAGGTGTACTAGTTGTCATCTTTGTTGAAATTCCAATTATTCTAGTTGTTGTAATTATCGTTTCCACCCTGATTTCCTTGATTCCTTATATTACGATTGTTGTGGTTATGGTTGTTACCTTCATTCATCAGTGGTGGTACGAGCTGAGAAAATTGAGGGTTAATATTTCTTGAATTGTGGTTTTTATTGACACCAATACCACCATTTTGTTTTCCTCTGTTACCTCCTATGTTGTATCCCTAATTAGCTTATTTCCACTATTGTGGCTATAATTGCTCTTGTTCGGTTATGGTTTCGGTTATAGTTCTGTTGTTGGTGTATTGATTAGTGGTCCAACATATTATTGTTCCTAATATTTTTGTTGTTTGGGATTAGGGAACCCCTGATGGAGGATTGTGTATTGCATCCTCTTGCCCATCTATTACATCTTTAACGACTACCCTGTCTGTATTCATGATGCTAATAGTTTTTCTAGCGATCTGATTTAACCGATCAATGCATTCAATTTCCAAATCAAAAACTAGCGGTGAAGAGTGCCCACTATGTCTCGTATGCATGCACCGGTATGCCTGCACAACAAATATTAAGTAACTTGCAAACAAAAAGTACAACTAAAATTATCAAAAATATATAAATATTTAAACATAGTAGTTTAAGTGCACAATCTCCCCAACAGGTGTGCCAAAATTTGATCGATGTCCTCGTCTTGGTCAAAAAACCTCACACGCACTAGATAGATAAGGTAAGTAAGGGTTAAATCCACAAAGGGTTTGGAGTTAAACCTTATGTCAAAATAGTCAAGAGAAAGGAACTAAGGGATGCCATTTTGGTGAATTTCGTAGATACTTTGCAATTTCGTAGTTGTATCCAAAATTGGCGGATACTTGTAGTAATTACTCTATTTTTTTATTAAATCTTGGAAAATGATAAATAGAATTACTCCAATTTGTCTTTTTCTTTTATTTAAAAAAAATGGTAAACCCAACCTAAGGCCAAGTGAATCACAGAACATTAACAATATTTTTGATGTGTCAGGATTAGAACCTTGGACCTTCTGTGTGGCATTTCACTCCTCGACTAGACTTTTATTGTGGAGGCTTATTTAAAAACCTTAATATCTCAACATTTGGCCCTAATTTTACAAATGAGATCGAATTTTTTTGTTCGCAAAGTAAAAATTGATACAAGATGATATTGCCATATTTATACAAATTTTTAGGCAATATTCTAATACATTTTTATTAATATTTTGGTTAAATGCAAAGGTATATGGTACTTATGGGATTAACTTGAATCTTATAGCCAAAAGGAACACTCTTGAAGATAAAGGACCATAATTGATGAGAATTGGAACTTTGGAGGATTGAAGATTAAAAGAAGGAAATTCCTACTGAAAAGTCGATCTCACAACATGATGGGTCAAAGCTCACGAAGTGAGTATTAGATTCTAGAAGAATAACATATGGGAAGTCAGAATCCTTGTCCAATATGGATTACTACCCGACTCGCAACATGAGACTCCATATCTCACTACGTGTGCAGCGATTTTACAAATCTATAAATTAACCTTCATTCTCACGTCTTTCAAGGTTGGCAAGAGTTAAATTATGGAGAGATAACCAAGTTGAACAGGAGAAAAGTGCAAAAAAGCATCTTTTGAAGGAGAATTGCTTGAAGCTTGAGAGATTGAAGAACGTATTCACACATTAGTTTTGTACACCTTGATTATGTCTTTTACTATTGAGAATTTGGTTATGCTTTGAACCATGAGCAGCTGAATTTAGTTGCTTCCGTTTATATATATGAAGCTTTAACACTAGGTTTAGTTTATTAAATTATGGATTTAATTGTTGGTTATGAGCTTGTGTTTGATTATCTCTACCTATCATGTTCATATTTGATACTTTGAATGCTTGAATTCAGATTCTGTGTAACTTAGTAACCATTAAATTACATGAACTTATTACCTAGTAGTTTAGTGACTATTAAATTGCTAGAGCTAGGATCAACCAAATCTTATATAAGTAATAAAAGTAAGGTGTTGTTTGTTTTTTGAAGTAAAAATTTCTGAAGTCTACGGACCACCTCTGCAACCCTTTGTAGCAGAAGAGGTGGAACAAATGGCTGCAAACTGTAAGTAGAAGCATGTTTGTTTTTTAACATCTACATGCTACTACAAATGTTAATAAAATGATTTTATAAATAGAAAATAGTTTTTCAGCACTAAAAATTTAATAATTCTAGTCTTAAAACACTGAAATAAACTTCATACAACCAAATTAGTCTTACAATAAAAACAATTTGAAATAAAATTCATACAACCAAACTTTAATAATTCTCATTCCATATTTTGCATCAACTGCTCGACAATTTCATCCCGTAACTGGGTCATATATTCATGGTCAGCTGCAGTACCATGTGTTGGAATCTCATATGCATCATCATTAAAGGGCACATTGTTATTTCGAAGTGAGACATTTGGTTCATCATACCGTGCAAAATACTCATCACTCAGTCCCTCTCTTGTTATAAAAGTATGAAGCGTGAAACATGCAAGGGTATTGTTTCTTTGTGTAACCAACGAGAACAGTACCATCCTCTTCAATATAGGAAATCGTGCTTTCAAGACACCAAAAACATGCTCAATGATGTTCCAAAGTTTTGCATGTGCATGTTTAATTTTTTCTTTACTAGTTAATACACGTTTTTGATGGAAATCTCCAAGCCAATACCTCACATTACGATACATTGCCATAAAACCTCAAGTGTGTGCATACATAGCATCACAAAGATAATATTTATCTATAAAAAGCCCAAAAAAACATTCAATTTTCAAACTAAGATAAATCCATTTAAATAACCATAAACGTTACCTGATGGTGGAAACGGGAATGGTGCATGTGGATTTGCTACTGCTTCTGATAATATTCTGGAATCATGTGCTACCCCTTCCCAACCGGCCACAACAAACATAAACGTCATGTTTAAATCACAAATTGCCAATACGTTTTGGTAACAATCGCCTTTTCACCTACTTCTATATAAATATTGTTTTTTTGTAGGGACAACATGATTTATCAAAGTGTCATCATGTGCACAAACTGCTCCTTTGAAAACCCGTCATAGCCTCCTATTATGTCCCGACATATTTGGATTCGGATTGAAAGACTATAATGACGTGTGCAAAAAGCAGCATCTTGTCTAACACTTCATGAAAAAATTATTAATAGTTTTCTTTGAGGGTTGAAATCTTTGCTTGATGACCACATAACATTAGTTATGACCGATCATAATTATAAACATAGCCATCTTTTCCTCAACCGATACTTGTTTGCTATCCTTTAACACGTAATTTACTCTAAAATGAGCACATAGTCGTACAAAAGATTCACGTGACATGTGTAGTACTTCAACACATTGTAGATGATTTTTTCCCAATCACTCTAATGTGTATTCATGTCCCCTCATTTTCGAATCATTGTCCCACACTCGTTTCACACCCCTCTTCTAAAAATAGCGTACGTACAAGTACACTAGAATAATGAGAAGTATCTTTTTGTCGTGATCCATTAGAAACCTATTAATCAACACAAGTACCAAATAACATAGCATAAAATTCAATTTACACATAACATAACATAAGATTTCAATAGCAAATAACATAAAATTCAAGTACCAAATAACATAACATAAAATTCATGTACCAAATAACATAACATAAAATTCAAATGCCAGATAACATAACATAAAATTCAAGTACCAAATAACATAAAACTCAAGGACCAAATGCAAAAAACATAACCACATAAACAACACAAATCTGTAACCAAACGAATAATCTTTCCATCTTTTAAAACTCCAAAACTAGTAGTCGTCATCTCGATCAATCCTCTTAATATTTCTGGATTATTAGGTAAATTTACCCACATCTCTCTTATACTTATGGTCCTTCCAAAAATGTGATAACCAGCAAATCGTAGAGGGTCTACTATGGCTAACTCAAGCAATTCTAACTTATCTAAACATTGAGGAAATAAAGGCCCGTGAGTCAAATGTTGTAGAGATTTTCGCATCTCTAGTGCTAAATCGTCAGTAGTAACAGAAGTTTTTGGTGAGGACCTAGAAGGAGGATCACTTGAGGCACTTGAAGCTTTAGGTCTAGGAGTTGAAGGTTTAGCCCTTCTCTTGGGGTTACCAGAAGGTGAAGCAGCAGAAGGTGGTGTGTAACATTCCATTTAAAGATAAAATAAATCAAATAAAATAAGTAAATAAATAAATAAGGATAATAATAATAATAATAATAATAATAATAATAATAATAATAATAAATAAATAAATAAATAAGCCCTAAGATCATGCGATGTATTTTATATTTTATTTTATTTTAGCCCTAAATCCTTAGTAATTTATCAATGTTAATGTTAAGGAGCCAAAAGTTATAATTTCAGGAAGTTGGGGTCCATTTTGTGACATCTGGACCATAATTGCAATATATTTTACAAAGGAATGGTTGTTTGGGTAATTAGTGGACTCCACTTGAAAAGAAGAGGGATGGAGGGACTGGAAGTGTTAAATCGAATAAAGTTTGAATTGGTGGAGGTGGGGCTAAAACACGTCACCCCCTCTCCTATGTTTCCTCATTATAACACCGTTACATCTAAACCCTAACCCTAAATAACTCCAGCCACCACCCTTATACTCCCTCATCTCCAGCCACCGCTCCCCTCCACCGTTGTGATTATAAACCACCGAGAGTTGAGCACCATCATTGTTGTTCGTTGCTAACGAAGACGGGATTCAAGGTCGACATTGGGGCCGCTGTTACCTCTACCTTCTTCGGTAATGGCGAATCCTTCCCCCTCGTTCTTTTATCATTTCTCACGTCCTTCTCCACTATCACTGCTCTGGCGGTTGTCCTATCGCCACATTCCTTCTAGCAGTCGCATGCCACCGTGAATGGGTAAGTGCGTTGTGTGCGTGTGTTTCTACATGTTGGTGTATGTGTTTTAGTGTACATCGGCGTGTGTGTGCATTTTTGGGCCAAAAAACCAAAGAAAAACCCCCCACCACCACCATCATAAGGTGGTGGCTGCCACGTCATGTCACCGTTTGCCGCCACCAGCTGCCACTTTGGGTGGTTGTGTGTATAGTATGTATGTTTGGACGAGTGTTTGGAATGTTTTCACTGTTTTGCCTAAAAATCGTAACCGCCACCACCATGAGGTGGTGGTTGCCGCCAACGACCACCATAGCCCGAGGTGGCATTCGGTGGTGTCCGATTTATACACACATGTGTATTTATTAAATCAACTAATTAACTAACTTATATGTTGTAAATCCTAATTAGGGTTTAGAAAACCCTGATGTCATGAAACCCTAATTTGGAAGTTAGCGGGACCAACATTGAAACAATTTATTAGACTTAAAATATTAATTAATAAACCTTTGAAATTAACTTAATGTAATATTGGAATTGATAGATTAATTCCTTAATTGGTTAAGTGTTTTTACTTAACCCTAATCACCATTTTAAGTGAAAACCCTAAATTTGTTTGGGCCTTTCTGTTGGGCTTTGGTGATTGGGCTATTGATGGGCCATTCAAGAACAAGAATATAGACTAGAATATTTTGATGTGCTTTAGGGTAAGGCCCATGTGAGGGGTTTGGGCCCAATTTGGAAAATTGGGCCATAGATAGACCATAATTGGGCCTTGATGATTATGAGATATTGGACCATCAGAATGCCAAATCTTTAGACTAGAATTAATGGTTGGGCCTTAAGGTAAGACCATGTAGAGGTTTGGGTCCAATTTGGAAAATTGGGCCATATGATGGGCCTTGATTGATTATTTGGCTTTTGGGCCTCCAAAGTTTGAGTTTGGGCATTGGCCTTGGACCAAGCTAGGTTAGGGGTAAAATGGTCTTTTTACCCCAAGTATGGACTTATGGTTATGCATTAGAACTTGATTGTTAATTGGGTTTTGTTTTAACGATTAACAGTTCGGGGATCTGTCATCCAACAGCCAGAGATTTATTCACAGGACTTCAGCAGTGCGAGGTGAGTCTCCTCACTGTTTGTATGGGTCGAAGGCACAAATGTCGACCCATTTAGTTGACGCATCGTAGGAAGACCCGGGGGTTAGCCCTAGGCATTATGTATGAAAGACTAGGAGGCGGCTCCTAGCACACTGTATGCTATTATGTATGGTAGGAAGACCCAGGGGTTAGCCCTAGGCATTATGTATGAAAGACCAGAAGATGGCTCTTGGCACACTATATGCTAATTGGCTAAGTAGAGTAGTATGTATGCTAGTTCTCTTTATGATGTGCATCGAATACCAGGAGGTGACTCTTAGCACTTGTCTGTAAGACCGATATGACATCCCCATTTTCACAGCAAAAAAAATCAATTTTGTTTATGCTTTATAAAAACCAGAGTACCTCTTTTAATAAAAATGGTGCAGAATTTGTTCCCAAAAAAACATGATAAATACGTTATCAAAGCATTTTCGAAGAAATGTAATTTTATCCATTTTAAAACATTTGGGATGTCATCGCTAATACAGAAACATAAGCATAAACAGAACTTACATTCATTTACACTAGTGATCTAAATCTCTTTAATCTCTCAGTGTAATGTAACTTCATATCGACACCTGTGATACAAATAAGCTTGAGTGGGTCAGGTTGGGAAACCTGGTGAGTACATAGGGTTTTAAACCCACAATAATATAATTATTATGTTTAATTGACAAACAATTAACCCAATTACCCATCCCCATTATCTTTTTTATTCTTAATGGTCTACCCTAAGAATCATCTATCCTGCATTCGTTCATTCCAAAGTCCATCGCTTCCAGGGTTCATATGACAGGCACTAAGTCCATAGCTGCCAATGCTCGTGCATAAAGCACTACTTCCATAGCTGCTAAAGTTCTTTCATCGGGTACTAAATCCATAGCTACCCGTGTTTATTTAATAGGTACTAAATCCATAGCTACCAATGTTTATATAACAGGTACTAAGTCCATAGCTACCAACGTTTATCCAATAGGAACTAAGTCCATAGTTGTCGATGTTATTTATTAGGCACTAAGTCTATAGCTGCCAATGTTCACTCATATCATCTTTCATCTCTCATCATTCATTAACCCATGTTTTACCCAACATATTCATAGATATAAAATACATATACAGTTTAAATTATTTAAAACATGTATAAAATCGTTCACCCAGCATAGATAGCAAGTATACATGTTATATGCATACATAGCATGTAATTTATATAAAATATATCATATCTATGTGTAATATGAAAGTAACTATGCACTCACCTGCAAAGGTGGCGACTTGGTACTCAGACAGCACTCCGTTTACTTTAAAACAAATTTCCATTGACAAAACCTAGTATCATATCCACTATAGTTTAGTCTAATGTTCAACGAGACTAATTAATAGTCTAGTTATTATTACTATTATATAAGCGTTAAACAATACTCTTCACCCATTATGTACAGACAGGGGCTAGACATGAAACACCGGAGGGTAGGATCATTTTGGCATATAGCACTTCTGAAATCCAACAACCCAGGTAGCCCTTCAAATTGGATTACCCGTACCGCAAGTGGTTAAAAAGATATTATAACGACACTTATATAACCCAGAATAATAGCTCAAATAATTATTATAAGGTCCTAATAACATTACTATATTTATATAAAAGCTATATTAAAAATTAGGTAGGCGTATCTTACCTACGAGGGGGTTTAGCTGAAAGCCATGCTCTGTAGAGGCAGCACTTCTGATCCAAAAGCTCTTCTTCTCGGAGCCTTCAAGCGCTCTGGGGCTTTCTTCTAGCGCTAGGGAAGTTTTGGGAGGTTTAAAGAGAGAGTAGAGAGAGAAGGGTGGAGGTATGAAGAAATGAGGGTGTAAGGGGTTGTATTTGTAGGGTGAAATATGGTTGAAATTGGTGCCACATGTCACCATCTAGTGGCAAGCCTTGGGGAGAAAGCAATGGCCAAGATTGTGCCATGTCACCCCTTTTGCAGTAGTACCCTGCCGACTTCTAAACCCCATAACATTTGCATACGATCTCTGTTTTCGATGTTCTTTATATCCACGCGTAGGTAAAAATAAGATCTACAACTTTCCTTTAGACTCCGTCGGCTAATTCTCAACCAATATTAAATTTAAAGTAGGAGGATATTATACAGTTAAATGACCGCATAAAATTCATAACATCTACATACGTGCTCCATTTTCATCTATATTTTTATCGTTGCATTACTAATAAAGAGATCTTCAACTCTCATTTAGGTTGTGTTGACAAAAACTACTCGATCTAAAATTCGAATTCCGGGCTGTGCACTGCTAGGACAATTCTTAGAAAAATCATAACTTCCTCATACAAAGTCAGATTTGGGCATTCACGCAGTGTCGTGTCGGTTCCGTCGCAAAACTTCGACGGGCCATAACTTTTTCGCTATAACTCAGATTTTAGCGTTCTTTATATGTACAGAATCTTTGTAACATATGATACAACTTTTATTAAGAATATTCATTCTAAATAATCTTCTATCAAAAAGTCATTTTTGACACTTATTGTCTCTAAATTGACTAGCCCGAATCTGCGGGTGTTACAATTATCTCTCTGTTACGATGATTACGTCCCAGAATCATCAATGAAACAGGGTTGTATAATGACTCCATATGCTATCTCTTCATCCTAGGTACTAATCGTAACTTTTATGTTACTTTGAATGAGTATCTAACTCTTGGACTTCTTGACTGCAGGCGGTGCTTGATCTATATCATGTTAGATTTTAAATCATGACCTTCATGTCACAATATCGATCTTTATCAGAGACTCCTTTGTCTTAACAAACTTAAGATAAGTTGTTTGATTTCCATAATAGACAGATGGGTCACGTTCTAATGACCTCTCATCGTATGTTTCAACGCTTAGACTCAGGTCTCTTAGAGTCAAATTTCGGAATGAAATATACTTCCTTCATGTTCTAATGTGATATAATCACCTTTTAACATGTAGCATTTCTAGCTACCAACTTCTTTAACAACGAGCGCGATACTTCTATTGATCGCTTTGATTTCATTCTTCTGGTTTAAGTCAGATGCTACATCGAACTTGGTTCTTTGAACCATGTAACATACTAGTATTTGTCGGACTCGATTTGATATGACCACTAAGGTCGGAATAACAATCATCTTCTTAGTC